CGCGTGTCTGTGTGTGTCTTTGTTTTATGTTTGTCTATATCTCCCTTTTTTAAGCAATAAATGTCTAGCTTTATGTATAGCCTTATGTCCATTTACTCTGCCGTTCACCGTATCCAGCCGCCTGACTCTGCCGCTTGCCCAGGGACCCTGTACTGCTCCGGCGGCAGCTTCTGCCTGGCTTGCAGGCCGCCCAGGCCATTATATCATATTCTTTTTAAAAGAACAAAAACCTTGACCAAGGCAACTTGGGGAGAACAGTGTTTATTCCAGCTGTAAGCTGGAGTCTCTTATGAAGGGGAGTCAGGGCAGGAACAAGGCAGAGGCCATGGAGGGGTGCTGCTTACTGGCTTGTTCCCTGTGGGTTGCTCAGCCTTTCTTACACACCCCAGAACCCCTTGCCCTGGGGTGACAACACCCTCAAGGGGCTAGGCCCGCCCACATCAATTACTACTTAAGAGATCACAGGCTAGCCTACAGGCCAACTGGTGGGGACATTTTCTCAGCTGAAGTTCCCTCTTTCCAAAGGACTGTATCTTATGTCAAGGGGACACAGAACTAGCCAGCGAGCTGGGCCTGCCCTGACATACTAGTATCTCTTCACCCTCGTCTTTTAAACAGGTGCTGTCTCTGTGACTTTAGCTAACTATGTCCCCAAACAGGACCACTGTCTTCTCATTTGAACGTCACTCGGTATGTTTCTTCAAGTTGCCTTTGGCTGGGGATTTTATCACAGTAGCAAGGGACTAAGACAATGTTTTTAAGTCAATTTATGGGTTGTGTGGGGCCATCTTCATAGATACCCCAGGGCATATGTGCCCGCCCCACGGACTGGACATACTTGAAAGCAATGTAATGTCCATCAAGTGAACAAGTATGTGTTATGCTGGGCACCGATGGCACACTCGGGAGGCAGAGGCAGGCAGATCTCTGCGTTCGAGGACAGTTCCAGTACAGACAGGGCTGTTACAGAGAAACTGTCCCAAAAAAATTAATAATGATGTGTTATGTCCAGGAACATTATTCAGCCATAAAGAGAATGAAGGTACTGAGATGTGAAAGAGCTTAAAACCTGCTGAGTGTTAGAAGAAAAACACGAGCTCAGAGTGCTTGGCCACAGTGACATTCGACCTCGGGCAGGACCCTTTATGGACACCGAGAGCAACAGTGATTGTCTGGAGGCAGGAGGATGCTGCAGAGGAAGGACCTCTAACAGCCATTGTTTTTATGGGGATAATGAGACTGTTCCAACTACTGTAGTCGTGGCTGAGTAACCTGGAAATACACAGAAAACCACTGAACTGTGAGTGGTTGTTGGTTTGATTTGTTTGAGACAGGGTCTCTCTGTGTCTCCCTGGTTGCCCTGGACTATGTAGGCCAGGCTGGCCTCAAACTCAGCGATCCACCTGCCTATACCTCTGGAGTGCTGAGATTATAGGCAGGTGCCACCATGTCTGGCTCAACTATAAGTTTCTAGTGGGTGAGACAAAGCAATGACTTTTTAAAATGATCTTTATTGAGCTCTACATTTTTCTTTGCTCCCCTACCATTCAACTCTCTCCCAAGGTCCCCATGCTCCCAATTTACTTAGGAGATCTTGTCTTTTTCTACTTCTAAACTTTTTTTTTTAAAGATTTATTTATTATGTATAGTGTTCTGGTCTGCATGTATGCCTGCAGGACCTAAGAGGACACTGTGAGCCATCATGTGGTTGCTGGGAATTGAACTTTGGAAGAGTAGCCAGTGCTCTTAACCACCGAGCCATCTCTCCAACTCCATACAATGTGATTCTATGGCTGGGCGGTGGTGGCGCATGCTTTTAATCCCAGCACTTGGGAGGCAGAGGCAGGTGGATCTCTGGGAGTTCGAGGCCAGCCTGGTCTACAAGAGCTAGTTCCAGGACAGGCTTCAAAGCTACAGAGAAACCCTGTTTCGAAAACAGCCCCTCCCCCCCAAAATAAATTAAAAAAATATGATTCTATGTCAATAAAATGATTTAAATAATTCCGTGTGCCTTTGTGTGGGTATGGGCAATTGAGTGCAATGCCCTCAGAGGACAGTGGGTGTGGGCGTTACACTAACATCCTCGGAGGGCAAAGATGACATTGGATCCCCTAGATCCAAAAACTGTCCCAGGCAGTTTCTGAGCATCTGTGGTCCTGGAAGCCAAATCCTGTCCCCTGCAATGGCGGTATGAGCTCTTAACTGCTGTGCTGTCTCTCCAGCCCCATTGTTTGAGAGTTTCATGAAGCTCAGACTGGCCTCAAACTTGGTATATAGCAGAGTCTGGTTTTGAGTTCTTTATCCCCCAGCTTCTGAGTGCTACAATTATAACAGATATGAACATTGGCCATGTTTAAAATTTTGATATAAAGATATCCACATTATTTTCTTAATGGTTAATCTTTGTTTATGGGTGTTTTGCCTGTATGTGGGTTTATGGACCTGCACCATGTATGCAGTACCCACAGAAGCCAGAAGAGGGCAACAGGCCTGTGAACAGAGTGCCAGGAGCCAAGGCCTAGCCATTTCTCCAGTCTTCTTGCTATTTTATGTTTTAAAACTCTGGGTGTAAGCCTGACGGTGGCAGAGAACATCTTTAATCCCAGCACTCAGGAGGAAGAGGTAGGCCTGGACTATAGGGCAAGTTCTACAGCCAGGGCTACACAGAGAAACCCTGTCTCAAAAAAATCAAACCAAAATAAAAAAGCCAAGAAAACCAGAAAATGAGTAAAAAGCTGTAAACAGCCCAAACAGAAGCTAGGGAAAAAAAACTATCACATGCTCTTGGTAGAAATAACTGACATACAAATTTACTTCCATCTTTTTTAAAAGGCAAGGCAGAATCACACTCCTTCATTGGTATCTCTGCAGACATGCTCAATGCCAGAGTTTTGGCCTTCTTCACAAACTTCCAGAGAGTTGACCTTGGCAGCCTGACAAACCCTTCAGGACCAGCTTAATCCCTTCAGGATTAGTGACAACCAATATAAGGCACAGGGGCTGGGTTTGCCAGATCTTTTACCTGGTCCCACAGGCAACAGGTGACTTGGCTCATTATCAGGTGGCTTGGCTCGTCATCAGAAAGGGAGATTTCACCCCAGTGAAGGAACGGGAGAGCTCAGCTGAGCTGTCCAGTGCTTTCTGCTCATCAGAGATACCAGCAATGGATCTCAGGCTTCAATCCACTCATTCAGCAGCTCAGTGGTCTAGGTTCCCACTGATTAAAATGGGCTGGAAAAGCCATCACTGGGTGGGGGAGGGAAGCTACTTTATTGCACTGTTGGTAAGAGAAAGACAAGCAGCAGCACACAGGGCCGTCTGCCCTTGAACTCAACCGATCACTTCACTCCCGTCAGCTTTAGAGTCCAGGCGAACTCCACTGGGAGAGCCGTAGGTGGCAATGGGGGCAGATTGATGAGGACCCCCTCCTGGGGATCCTGGGTCCAGGTCAAATATTCTTCCATTCCTAGCATTGTTATCTGTGGAAAGCAAAGGTGGATGGGAAGACCCCGTTATTCACACAGACTTTGCCCCAACATGATGGGAATAAGTGTGCTGGACCAGAGCACTGAGGACACTCTAGTAAGGAAGGAGCCAAAGCCTGCCAATGTGTTTTAATAAAATTTCTATCTATCCAGGCATGGTGACACAAGCCTGGAATCTCAGCACTGGGAAGGTAGAGGCAGGAGGACCACAGGTTGAGGCTAGCCTGAGTGACATAAAGAGAGCCTTTATCCCAGCACTGGGGAGACAGAAGCAGGCGGATCTCTGTGAGTTCAAGGTCAGCCTGGTCTACAGAGCAAGTTCCAGGACAGCCTGTCTTGAGGAAAAAGAGAGAAAGAACCTGGCTCAAAAGAAAAAACAAACAAACAAACAATAGCTGGGAATGTAGTTCGGGGTGGCTTGCCTAAGCATGCCTAGGCCCTGGGATCTAGCACTAGAAAAATAAAAACAAAACAAAACCAAGTTGTAGCTTAGGAGGGATGAGGAGCTCTCTTACCTTTGTGGCCGAGGTTGTTTCGGGAGATTTGAGGTTTATGATGCCATTTTCTGGCCAGTACAGAAAGGTGGCATAAACAGCGGAGTCTTTAGTGGTGTACCTGGGAACAAGAAACACCGTTGTCCTAGGGGAGTCAGTGGTGCTCCCAGACAGACCCTCAGTCCTCTCTAGCTAACTCACCAATAAAGACCTTGTGTCCATCATGACTACTAGGAAGTGAGAGGAAGGTAAGGAAGGAAGAGGCCTACAAAACTCTGAAATCCTCTATTCTCCCCCTTCACTGGGTTAAGGTTTCTGTAAAAATTAAAATTAATCCTTGGGCAACACATTTTCCAGACCTTTCCCTGCTGCCTCAATATCCTTTGTTGCCAGGTGGTGGTGGCACACGTCTTTAACCCACACACTTGGAAGGCAGAGGCAGGTGGATCTTGGTGAGTTCAAGGCCAGCCTGGTCTATAAAGAGAGTTCCAGGACAGTCAGGGCTGTTACACAGAGAAACCCTGTTTCTAAAACAACAACAAAAAAAACAAAGGAAAGGTACGGTGTTGGACATATAATCCCAGCTACTAAGGAGGCTGAGGCGGGAGGATACCTTGCTCAGGAGCTGGGGGACAGCCTACACAACACGGTGAGACCATGACCCACACAGCGACAACAACAAAACACGCACCAGCTACTTCCCTACTTCTTAGAGTCAAAGCCACATAACTTGTTACTGAAATCTTTCCAACTCCAAATCCACGAGAAGACAGAGGGTGTGTAACAAGGGGACACACAGAACAGTGGCCCACTCACTGAGAGTTCACCCTATTCAGGAAATAGGATGAGAAGCACCTCCCAGGAATCCATCCGTAGGGACCTGTGTGTCTCCAGTGGGAGAGTGAGGTATTGCGGTGGACAGAACCCTGAGCTCAGGCTGGCGCTCTGCTGGGTCCTCACACATCACGTCACCTGGTCTCCAAAGCAGTCTGAGAAGCTAAGTACCATCACTCACTTTGTAGTTGGAGAAACTGAGGTCCAAGATCAAATAACTAGATCTAGAGGCCCAGGTACGAATGGGAAGATTTTAGGAGGGAGCTCTGCAAAGGTGACCAGAGACAACCCAGCTGGGACACAGATTTTACAGCGGAGGCAACATAACCTCCAACCTTGTAACGAGGATGGAGGGCCCTGAGAATGTGCAGGTCACCAAGTGTGATGCACAACACACTGATAAACTGTCAAATGCTGTTTGAGCTCACTTAGAAGCTGGCTCTGGAAGCGGGGTGCCCCAGCCACATTTAGGACAGAAGTATGTTTGTCTCAAAGTGTCCTAAGGCCCCTTCTCAGGGGTTGGGCTGCCCCCTAACCCTGTATCAGTGAAACAGCAGAACAGTCCAAGAGCAAATCCCTTGAATCTCTCTGAGAACAGCTAGGTCAGCCATCTCCAGCAGGGGTCCCAAATTTATCCCGATATAAAAGTACTTGTCGGGAAAATGGGAAGCCAGAGGTTCAGCCATGGTTTATCCATGGAAAGAAAGAGAAAGTGCATTTGGAACTCCAGCAGACTGCCCCAATTTCCCCAGTATGTTTCTAGTGGATATTGTAAGCCCCCGATTTAATGATTTAATGACATTTTCTCTGGTCTGGGACTCTGAGACTCTGTCAGGAGCTCCAGCCTTAGGGGAACTTCCACAAACGATTGATTTCTGTTGGGTGCCTTAGGTACCAAGTTTGAGGGTATTTTACCTCTATCTATCTATCTATCTATCTATCTATCTATCTATCTATCTATCT